GGGTTGCATTTATCCAATGGTAGCTTTTTGTCCATCATATTCCTGATGAGGATTGTATATCAGAAACATGTGTCTGTGTAGTCCAAAACATCTGCCTCTAGTCTAGCTTCTGATAGATAAATTGACAGTTATTGGCTAGAGTAGAGTCAGAAAAACTAGGCCCTGTTTTATGGGGATTTTCCGGTCGGCAATGCGATAATCTTGTCGTGGAAGCTCGGGAACATGTGAGATTTTACTCAAAATTTGAGGCGGCGACAAAAATCAATGACCAAGATTGTTCATGTACCTGATGAAGATTCTATATCCAAAACATGCGTTAGTCTTACCTTGAAGCAGTAGTTGTAATGGCGTCAACGGATTCTATGATACGATGTAATGCCGAGTCGGTACCAATAGTCATGTCAGTTCCACAGAAATCATTGTCAATGGAACCAACCAATCCTGCGATATTCAGATCCTGACATCCGATTCTTTCTTCCATTGAGATCATTCCTGGAAATGACCAAAAGACACAAATTAAATGGAATTTTAACTTTCTTGTTTGGGATTTGGTTACTATAGATGTCAAGCAGTGTGCAATGAGGGAAATTCTAGATGACATATTTCAACCTGAACACAAATTAGTGTTGGGCTGCCGTAACTTTCTTTTTGTTAGTATCAAGTGACTCTGTGACCTTTGAACTTTTGGCTGCGCACGCAGTTTTAAATGGCCGATGCTAGATCAGTTTCGCCGAAAAAAACTTTGATGGAACATGAGACATGACATAAATGGTGTAGGGAGAAAATGATGGTATGATCCAAGGTATCTAAATACATTTAAAAACCCTGCACCTGTGAAGATGCGGAATGTCCCCATTTAATAGAGCTTAATATTTCTGTCTCTACACCAGCTGACATCTGTCCAAATAGCTATCAAGAGTCTGAAATAGAGACAGATGTTGCAGTCTAAATACATCTAACGCTTGCATTTTCTACCCACCTCTAGAATGAAGTTCCTCTAATAAACTGGACCATTCCTGTCGGAACAGGTTAGCACCAGTTAAACTACCATCTCCACCAATTACCACCAGGTTAGTGATGTTATTTTTAATAAGATTATGGGCTGCTTTAACACGACCCTCTCTTTCTCGAAAATCTTTACATCTAGCACTACCAATTACCGTACCTCCCTAAAAAATACACAATTTTCATAACGCTCTATAGCAAAAGCCTTTAAGGTGCGGACACACAAGCAGTCTTGGTCAGAGACTTGGTAGTCGCCGATTAGAGTCTTGTTTTGAGTTTCAACGACTGGCATGTGAGGAGACCAAAATCTCCAGTCGGTCGTTTTCAACCTTGTCTGATTGGATGATGACAGGTCTGTCTTACAGAAGATAAAACTATCAGAGACAATTATCAAACTTGTTTAATATTATAAATCCTGTCGGTGACACGATAATCTTGTTGTTGAAGCATGAGCACACGCGAGATTTTACTCAAGATTTGAGTCAGCGACAAATATCTCTGACCAAGACCAGTCGTGTGCCTGCAACTTTAGAGATCATTAGCCGCTTATGCTATAGTGATGTCATATAAAATTGTTTCAAAGTTAAAACACCAACTGAAATGAGCGAAACAAAAACTTTGTAATATAATTAAATTGGACAAAATACCATCCCATCA